AATATTCTGCCCAATCAAAGTCAACGAACTTTCCTATCGACAAAACAAAGGGACAAAGGCCGGAAATGAGGAGCGGGAACTATGAATCGCTTGCTCTTGCGTAGCATTTATGAACAGTAGAAGATTCCACCGCTTCCAAACTTGGCAGCAAGCAAACCATTTATAACGCAAGACCGTCATACACTTCCCCTCCCATCTTGATCACTCACTCCCAAACCCCCAACTCACCCACGCATCACTTCCAAACTCGACCGCGCAAACGCCAAAATGAGCTACACCCTAACATCCTACCGCTACTTCCACTCGCGCGTCGCCCTCTTCGAAGAGCTCGCCATCGAAATGTACTTCGGGCTGCGGCCCTTCGACGGCCTGACGCGCGAGGAGCGTTCCTTCATCTTCGAGCAGCTGGGCCAGCTGGCCATGGAGGTCAACCGCGTCGCGCGGCCCCCGCAGTTCGACGCCTGCGAGGAGCTGGTCGCCGACATCAAGAAGACTTTTGAGAGCTTTCGCGTCTCGGCGCATCATGGTCGGTGGGATCTGATCAAGATGGTCATGGGCAATTTTTTGGCCGTCGTGAAGCGGATGGAGCAGTGAGAGATTGAGGGGCTTTTGGTGATGGGTGGTGCTACCTGCGCATTTCTCGTTGAAGGCTGAAGTCACTTGTCAGTCGATGCCAGGTGGTTTTTGGAGGGCTGAAGACTTTTGTGACGGGTCCAGGAGTTGTAGTTTGAACTGCATGTGGTTAGGGGAAATTGCGCGGCATAGTGGCCCACCGTTGTGCCCTCGGAGCAATGCAATGCGGCTGTGACGGCAAGGCTGTAAGCAGCAGAAGGGACACATTCATGAGTCAAGGGAGCAGAACAACGGAACATGCCTAAGGAGACTTCATTCCAATCAATTCAGCTTCACGCGTGCCGTCAGAAATCGTATCTGAGTGTCGTGGTATCCATCCACCATTAACCATAACGCCAACTTTTAGACCCACTAACGCCGTTCCTTGCCCAAAGTTGCTGCTCATGCTTAGAATCTCTCCTTCATCCTGGACGCAACGGTGCGCAGGTTGCCGTACACCTTTCCAGGCGGCGCTCCCAGAATCAGCGACACGACAGCCTCTCTTGCAACGTGAATGTTCTTGAAACCGCCAAGGATGTGGATCTTCTGGTCTGCAAGCACGATGCGGGTGCGCGACGCATTCTCGATGGCGAATTTCGTCTTTCCGTCCTTTCCAGCAATGCGGCCAATGGCGCGGCTCAAGTGGTCGCCATTCAACGTCTTGACATCCTTGATTTCAAAAGTCTCGATGTACAGGTCGTCGAGGCGGAGCAGAGCGATGGCGTCGTCGACGTCAAAACCGAGCGTAAAGGCTTTGATAAAGTCTTCGCCTTTTTGCAGCGCTCCCGAGTCGTTCGTGTGGCGCGAGTTGCGCAGCTCCACCGCCTTGTTCTTAATGTTCATGCGCACCTGCAGCTTCAGGTGCTCGACCAGCGGCGGGTAGATTTTGGTCCACGAGGCCTTGAGCGGCGTCATGCGGTGCGGCGGGACGGGGACCTTGCGGGTTTCGACCTTGAGGATTCGAGGGATGTCTTTGGCTGGGGCAAAGTGTGGGCGGCCTTCGGTGTCGACTTGCATCTCGTCCGAGGCATTCTGGGCGGGTTCTGCGGGCTCTGCAGTGGCATCGATGTCGAGCGGCACGTCGCCTTCTGTATGGCAGGTTAGAAAGGGCCGCAAATTGTTGACGGAACATTCTTGCCTTGGGGGACGTCGGTCATGGCGTTGTCTTCGGCGACAGCCTCGGGGTTGCGCAAAAGCGCAGTAGGAGCAGGCATGCTGGAGGACGCTGGGTTCGCTTTGTATGGAACTTGTAGGACAGGATCAGGGCCGGGCGGCGATGTTTGAGTGGAGTCGGGGTTGGCGCTCGAAATCTTTTGAGCGAAGTGAACGCGGTGGGTAGCGCAAAGTGATGGACCGTGCGCCGGCTAGCGCGTGCACAGCGATCTCTTCCCGGCTTTTCGCGCCAGAAAGGTCGTCATTCTCTCTTCCGCCCACACAAGCTGAAGTCCACGCCCACCTTTGCCTCCAAGTGCCACGCGCGCTTCTCGACGACTTCAGCGACCTTCACTCACGAACCCTCCAGGCCGTCATGTCCACAAACTCCCGATAATGAGTCGCCATGTAGCCGCTCGGGTCGGCGGAAGAACCTCGCTTTCCATCGTCGACCTGCTCCGCACTGCGCAATCACCATGCGCTGCGCGACCGTTTACCCAGATCCTCCCGGCCTGGACATTCTCCGCTAGATCACTCTCGTCGAGACCTTTTGCTGCCTCATGGCGCCTGCAACACGCGCCCCGGCTCACACTCTCGCGTCCCTCGACGACGTCATTAGAAGGAACCGGACGCGTTCTGCCAACATTGGCCAGCCAGCCACGCAAATCTCGACAAGATTCGAGGATAGCCCAAATTGCAGCCACATCATGGACCAGGTCTGCCTCCAGCACTGCGCGTCGGCGAAGAGGCGTCTTCAACCGCCGGAACAAGAGCTCGGTCAGCGATGGGAACCAACCCAAGGGCAATCCCGTTCAACAAGGATCCCAGCAAAAGTTGTCGCAGAACGGAATGGTGAAAAAGACTTCCGAAGAAGCTGGCGCTCACTCCAGTAAACAGCTGCTGGATCGTCTGCCGCATCTGCCGCATCGCCCTAGCAAGGAGGAACTCCTCGCCGCAGCTAACGGAGCATGGTCCAGGTTCAAGGTGCATTTCAAGTGGTTTTCCATCCGGAGCGGGCGAAAATTCAACATGGACGATATCAGTGCATTCTTCTCGTGGATTCTCCTGGGCCACCTGGCTTGGGTCATTATTGGAACAACCACCTTCTTCTCCCTGATCATCTTCTTGGTGAACACTGTGTTTGCACAAGAGACTCTTGCTCGGTGGATAGGAAACTACCTCACCAAGTCGTCTGGCATCAAGGTCGTCTTCGAGTCGGCCATTGTTCCCAAATGGGGCGACGGCGTAATTTCCTTCAAAAATGTCTTTGTGTCGAGACGACCAGGACAAGGCCAGGCCCAAGTCAGCAAGGGATCGTCAGAGCAAGCAGCCGCAGCCGCAGCCGCAGCAGCCAAGGAGCGCTTTGGTGAAGAGCCAACCGAAAAAGACGACGGAAACTACACCCAGTTCGACGTCTCCATGGAAACTGTGAATGTGACGCTGTCGTTTACCAAGTGGTTCAATGGCAAGGGACTTCTTCGAGACGTGGAGATCAAGGGCGTTCGTGGCGTTGTTGACCGCACTCACCTCAAGGCACCCGAGCAATACATCGACCCAAGGACATACAAGCACGAGCACAGCCCTGGTGACTTTGAATTGGACTCGTTCAAGATGGAAGATTTGCTCGTTACCATCTACCAGCCGAATGACTTTCGGCCATTCCCAGTCAGCATCTACTCCTGCGACTTGCCCCAACTGCGCAAGCAATGGCTATTCTACGACTTTTTGGCTGCCAACAACATGTCGGGATCGTTTGACAATTCGCTCTTTACCATTCATCCACGACAGACGCACAACTATGCCAGCGGCCAGCTCGTCTCAAGCACCGAGTCAGAAGGTGGGCCGAACCAGTGGAAAAAGCACAGCCGAATCAGGATTGACGCTCTCAACATTGACCATCTGAATCGTGGCGTCGCGGGTCCCTTTGGTTGGATCCATGAGGGCAACGTCGACATTGTGGCGGATATCATGTTTCCCACCGACAATGACGAGAGCATTGCCAAAGTCATGTCCGATTTCTACGACCGCATGGAGGCCACCGTCACTGCTCCTCGCAATGCCACCGACTCACTAGGCCCCCAAGGAACCGAAGACCAGCCCCAGAAGAAAGTGTTGCCCAGCATAGAGCAGGCGTTGACCGAAGACGACAAGCGGTTCATCGTAATGGACATACGGGTGCAACTCAACGACGTGCGCGCTGCCGTCCCCCTCTTCACAAACGACATTTCGTACATCAACAACGCCCTCACTCGCCCCATTGTCGCGTACATCAACTCCAAGCGCACCTTTATCCCGGTCAACTGTCGCGTCGTGAAGCGCGTCAGTGAGTTTGATGGCTCGTGGACCATTTACGATAGCGGGCTCATGGACGACTTGTCGAAAGAGGTAAGCAGCCTGTTCCCTTATCGCCTTCCTTTGTAATGGTGCTGACTTTGAATGAAAACAGGTCTACGAAGCATTCGTCCGCGACATCAACGACGACCACCAGACGCGCAAGCGCCGCTTCAAAAAGGTCGGCATCTGGACGCTTCAGCTCGCTGCCCAGGCCCTGTTTATCGGGCTGGCGGGTAACATTGCGTAAACGCTTGAACCGAGTCGATGAATTTCCTTCCCGGCATATGGCGGCGAAAGCCAACCTGGCGAGATGCATGATATCCGGCCGGCGGCTGGCTTTCCTACACCCTACAACATGCCGCCCTATCACCCTTTCTCATCTACCTCTCCTCCTCCCTTTTCACAACTCACCCTCATAACTCCAACCCCAACCTCAAACCTCCGACCACCTACCCAACCAACCGATGTATTACAAAAGTGCTCTTTGTTTCTTCTCTTTCCTTCCCTTTCTCTTTCTCTCTCTTTTCCACTTTCTCTCCAGCGACGGCGTTACAGGCACCTTGGGGGCTTACCTGGGGTAGGGAATCAAATCACCCTCACGGATGAACGGACGGACGGGATAGATCAAACAGCGGCGAAAGCGCAAACGTATACATGCATGCTTGCATTCTGGAACTATGAGGTGCTGATGAAGTGGTAGTGTGGGTGATTGAGTATGTGTCAGCTGAAGGAAGACGCGAGATGACACTCGCGCAAACAGACCAAACCGTGGCTCATAATGTGAACGAGAAATGACGGGAGAGGAGGCAGGACGGAAGGGAAGCGGCCTAGCAAGGGAGGTAAAGAAATATAATGCGTTGCAACCGCTGACACACTATACAGCGCACCACACAAACGTTTATGGATTGGTGGCGTAGTGGTAGCGCATGTCGTGGTTCAACATTCGCATCCACGGCAAGTCCCAGGTTCAAGTCCTGGCCAATCTGATCTTTAGAGTGGTTTCCTTGTTGCCCTTTTCTTTTGATCGGCTGCTGATAAGATGGTGGTGTTGAGTGGTAGCGAGGGGTCTGTCGCAGTGCCGTGATCCACGGTTGGCTGGTTGGCTGGTTGGCTGGTTGGCTGGCTGGTGGTCACGGCATGGATGTCTGCCTGAGGCTTAAGACGCATCGCTTGGCAGACATGACCAGTGGCAGCATTCACGCACGCGAGTAATCAAGCAATCAAGCAATGGAAGAAGGTAGGAAAGAAGAGAGAGGAAGAAGAGTGGGGGAAGGGAGAAAAGACGGGGAGACAGATGGCATCGAGGAGTTGGCGTCTATCATCTACTACGCACACTGCCCACACACTCACCTACCTCCACGAGCAACACAACCAGATCAGTCCATTCACCACGTTTACACTCGAATGTATTCTGGAGATGGTGTCGAAACCTTTTTGGCCTGATGCACTGGTGAAGCCAAGGGACAGGGAAGGATGCGCATGGGCTGGGTAGAAACAGAATGGGATTTGGGACCATGGGTGTGTTGGAGATTTGCCAAGCTGAGAATAAGTTTGGCATTCCATAGATGATTGGATATCTAGTCCACCGGGCAGAACGACCAAATGTTCACCCTCCATTATCTTTCTCGACGCAATGCGAGTCTAAGCCTTCCAAACGACAATTCTGCCGTCAACGCCACCCGTGCTGAAATTTGCGACGCGCCCGCCAGCCTCCTGGTACACCCTGACCGTATTTATGCTGTTCTGGTGGGTGGTAAGGAGCTTCGTGTCGTCCTTGGCCTTGCCCTTCAGGTCCATCTGCTTGAACAGCTGGCGAGCATTCTCCTCGCCGCCCTCCTCGCCGCCACCGCCAAGTCGGGCAGGCTGCACGGCCTTGGTCTCCAGAGCGCCGGCCAGCGCCCAGCCGCCCTCGTTGCCCTGGAAGCGGTACGGCTCGCAGTCGTAGCCGGCGGCGACGATTTCCGACTCGGAGGTCCAGATGAGGCCGACAAAGGGCAGCAGCTGCGTCGTCACGCTCAGCACGGCGCGCGGCGGTGCGTCCGGCGCAGAGGGGTACACGACCGTCACGGAGCTGTCGTGCGCGGCAAACGCCAGCGCGTTGCCCGACGGCGAAAACGCAACCCCGTGCACCCAGCCCGCCGTGTTGTTCAGGAACTCGCCGCACACGGTGTTGAAGGGCAGGCGCTCGCCCCAGGCGCTGGGCTCCGGGCGCTGATCGACGCCCTTGATGAAGGCGGAGAAGACGCGCGCGTGACCGTCGGCCGATCCGGCGCCCAGGAGAACCGAGTTGGGGTGCCAGGCGATGCTCGTGATGGTGCTGCGGATGGGCTTCTTCAGGTGCTTCGACACCCACCAGTCGTTTTCTTCCTCAAAGTAGCAAATGGCAATGACGCGCGCTCCGCTGCCGACGGCGAACTTGTCCTCGGATGGCGACCAGCGCACGCAGGTGGCGGCGCGGTTGATGCGGAGGAGGACGAGGGTCGGCTTCCAACCGGCCGGCGACGGCTCCCAGACGTAGGCATTGCGGTCTGGTAGGATTGTCGTTAGTTGGGCATTCAGGGATGGCATGGCTGGGGCCTGAAATGGGTCGCGGAGTTGCGTTGCGTACCTTGCGAGCAAGTCACAATCTTGCCGCTTCTGGGGGCAATATCGACACCTGTGACGGTCTTGTCGTGACCAACCAGTTCGTCGCTGAGCTGGAAGTTCGAGCCAGAGCGCGTGTACAGCTCAACATTGTTCTGGCGCGTCACGGCGAGGGTCTGGCGGTCGGCGGAGAAGGAATGGTCGACGATTGAGTGGTGAAAGAGATGGTGGACTTCGGAGGGAGCCATTGTTGTGGATGGAGCAATAGGAGGAGCTCTCTACTATTGCTGGTGTAATGTCGTGGTTGGTGAAGGGGTGTGGGTGAGGAACACCGCAGGCGTCGTCGGGAGTCTACGATGACGCCTGTTGCGGGGACCTGAGCTAGGCCAAATGGGGCAACTTGCTCGACCATTCGACCTGGACTCTCCACTTCACAGTTTGATAGACCACGACGATGGAGAACCTTTGAAGACGAAGGAACAGAAGATTTGAGTCGTAATCAAGAAGTAATGACGTGTCTAGTAACTTGGGAGGTTTAATCCATATTGCCGCCTTCGAATGGAGAGCGAATTGTTTTCCAAGACCCATTTGGCACTGGCATCAATTGACTGAGAAGCTCTTTCAGACCTCTAGCAGAAAAAGTGCAGATAGAGTGGTTTTCTTTTCGTACTGGACAGTTTTGTCTGACTTGGAGATGCATAAAGACGGGAGTTTCTCAGCAGCGATCCTCCAGCATTGTCGGAAAAACACCGGCTCCAACGCGCGACGCCGAGCTTCAAGATCCCATCCGTCGAGTCGGATGCTGCTTCGCGTTCCGCTACAACTTTCACGTCCAGCGTATTCGCGAGCGCCGCACTCTAATCCTCCGTTACCTTGCATCCGAATTCTTCAACCTCGCATCGACTCTCCGCACCAGCCCGTCATGTCTCACGTCGAGCGTACAAACGCTCTGAACAACTCCAAGGCGGCCAAAAATCCTCCTGCTCAAACGCCTCCCAGTGCTACGTACGTCTGATTCCCTGCGCAACGGTCGTGATATTGAATCGTCCTGACGCCATTCGCAGACTTTACTGCAACAACCTCAATGACAAGCTGCTCAAGAATGACCTCAAGCGCGAGCTGTACATGCTCTTCAGCAACCAAAGCACCGTCATCGACGTGGTCACGCTCAAAACTGCAAAAATGCGCGGTCAAGCGCACGTCGTCTTCCAGAATGCGGAAAAGGCGGGCATGGCCATGAAGGCATTGCAGGGTTACGAGTTTCATGGGCGCAAGATTGTAAGTCTAAGCCCACGCTTGATTCCGGGCCTGCTAACATGAATAGAACATTGCGTACGCGAAAGGCAGGTCAAACGTTTTCAACAAGCTTCTCGGAACCTATGTACTGGAACAGCCTGCGCAGCAGCAGCCCACCGGAACCGCTCTCCAGCAATCAATCTTCAACAACCCACACGCCCTCACCACAGCGCCAGTCACCAATGGCGACGCTCACGATGCAGACGACGCGAAGCGGAAGCACGCAGATGAAGAGGCATCTCAACAAGCGAAGCGGCAGAAGCTCGATGCCCCGCCTGCAGAAGAGGAAGAGGAGCAGGAAGATGACGAGATGGACATGGAGGAGTCTGATGAAGATTAATCATGAGCAAACGCGCCTCTTGGCAGAGTCAAAGGCGAGAGCTTGTCAAAAATGATGGCAGAGATTCAGGGATAGTATGGATTGGCAGCATATCAACCTCGACTGGGCATGCTGGACTCTGCAGGGAGCCGAGTTTCCGCGCACTGGTCTTGATTGGGAAGGTAGTTACGGGGTCTCTCTTGTTTATGCAATATTCTGATACCCTCAAAGCAGGACCGCGAGACTCACGCCGTTTGCTCAAAGGCTTCGACGCTGTGAAGCCAAGGCTAAGGGAAAGTCGAGGCCCACGCACGCACCGACGACTCCAAACCATAGCTGGAGATATTCCAATGGGCTTGGATTCGATGTTGAAGCGGCTGCTTTCAGCGCTTCAGCCGTGTTGCATGGGTGAACGAAAAAAACAGCCATGTCCGTCACGGGGTGATTCTATGGCGGGTCACTACGGCACTCGATGTGTGTTCCCGAACTATGCACTTACCGTCATGCTTACTGCGCCGATTATGCCCACTTTCTCCATCTCGGATTTGAAGTGAGGAGGAATGAGCAGGTCCCCCATCCTGTCAATGGACGTCGTTGCACTACCATCAAAGTCCTGGATGCCAATGTAGAGCACCGGCACGCGGTACGAAGGTGAAGGATATATGCTGTATTCTACTTTGGCTTGGGGATTGCTTGGCCGGTATGGGAGAGCGTCCTAGCCAAATGAGCGTAGGCATAGACAACCAATGATGGCGGACTTGCCTCGTCACTATCGTCCGGATCAGATGACAGCGCTGGAGCATTTTCCGTGGTGTGCAGGGGAGATTCTATTCGGCGGACAATCTGTAGCCCAAGCTGCCCTTCTTGCTGCAACAAAGTTAATGACTGGCTGAAGACGATTGGCCAGGCAGACGCACGTCGGTGGTGAGGTTAACACTGTGCCAAGCATGCTGAAATTGGCCATGGTGGTTGAAACAGTCGGCAAGTTGGCGACAGGCTTCAGCAAACACGTCGGGAGACAAATGAGGAAATGTGACCATGGACATTTCAATCCGATTGCGAAGACGAGGGTTTCACATTGGGAATCGCCGGGCCGTCGCAAGTTGCGCGGGAGCAGCGTGGACCCGGGATGCCGGACGGCGGCGGACTTCGCGCGCGCGCCAAGTGCCTCCTACCTGAGCTAGCACCGCGATGCTTACTGCAACCCTGCCGCGACTCACCACCGCCTTTGGTCTCCAATCCGCATCTCCACCTCCCTCCTCCTCCCCTCCCTACTCCCCACGCGTCTCTTTTTGCTTCACCTTCGCCTCGCTGTCCTCCCTCACTCTTGTCCACTAGACTCCGTTTCACTGCGCTCAAGTCCGTGTCCATCATTAGTCCAAAAACGGCAACCCGCCTTCACCATGGCCGACAAGCAGGCTCCACAACCTGAAAAGAGTCAATTGAAGCGTGCCTTGGTACGTATTTCTTACCGCGGCGGTAAATCCGCTTCTTGCTGACGTCACTCTAGCAATCTGCAGGCGAAGAAGAAACCGAGAACAAGAAGCTGCGCACAGAACCAGAGACTCGACTTCGTCACGACCCTGCCACGCCGCTTAAGACGCAGAATGCCGCCTTTCCCTCACCAGTCACGCACAGAGGCTCCACGGCCACCGAAGTCGACTACAAGGACGGTACCGTCACTCCTCCGAGCCAGACCCCTCGCCCTTCCACCACAGCCAATGATCGCCCCAAAGACGACTCTGCTCCTCAGACTGGCCTGTCCTCACCACCTTCAGACACTCAACC